TCTTTTGTCAGTATACTAAACAGAAAGAAAAATATAAACAATTCAGACAAGTATTGGAGACAAGTGCTGACTCCAAAACCAACTTCAGGACTGCAGGACTTCCTGCAAGGAAAAATCCTCTGCACATCTGCTGAGAGAAGGGAAGCAGGGACCAGGAAAGGAATGGGCAGTGCTCATCTTACTACACTTTCTCTAGAAGAAGAGAAAAAAAATATAAAAATCACCCTAGGGCAAGCAACAACTATTCAAGAGAGTTTGGAAACAAGGAATAGTATAGAGCCACAATGGACTAGCTCCAAGCATAAAAAGTAAAAGATCGGAATTTTTCTCATAAGAATGCTGACTCCTGTGGTACTCCAGTTGACATATTCCTAACAACAGCAAATCAAGCCCACAAATTCAGCGTAATTCTTTTTACTCAGAGGCTTGCCCAGTCTAAATTTGCAACACCACTTTATCTACCACCAACTTCATCAGGAAATTACATTTAGCAGGCTTGTAGAAATAATGTCAAGAAATCTATTTATCACTATGCCAGCATATTGTTCTGCTGGCTTTTATCACAACTGAAGAAGCCTAGAACTCCAGAAATCAAATGTTGGTCCATTTTCCTTCTTTGTGCTCCTCGTGATAACACTGTCAATTTTGTCGGCTGGAGAGGCCTTCTGTTCCTAGGCTACCTCATCTCCCTGTGCTCATTCCAGTCACGTATGGAGTGTTCATGGGAGGAGGAGTAATTTTATGTTGTGCCTATTTCATTTACAGGACTTGGGTGTCAGTTATTGATCCCGACTCTTATTTGAGCTTTCCTCAGAAAAAGAGGCAAAAAAAAAAAATCTGGTAATGAGATTCGGAGTCCATTGTTTCAAGCTGTAGTTTTCATTTTGGAGGGATCATCGTTGTAAAAGAATCACAGAAGCCGGGGGTTGGGAGGCTGGAGTGAAGGGAAAAACACGACCAAACAACCCAAGATAAAAAGACCCTGGAGCAACCAGGTAAGATTTTTCATTCTTTGGAAACATAATTTTGTCAGAGAAGAAATGTAGTTACTCAAGGAGATTGTTAGGGAGATGCAGTAATGCACCACAAAGCACATCAGAAGAGGAAGAACAGAAGAAAAATTGATGGGAGAACAAGAAAGAAACTGAGTTGTGCCTATGTTCCATAAATTCTGTGTGTACGTGTGTGTGTATGTGTGTGTGTGCCCACACACACACGCATACATTTTTATATATTCTGGATTTCCTGATGACATATCCTTACACTGAAGGGGCAGTACAGCCAAGTGCTTCAGAGCTCACACTCCAGAGCCAGCATGTCTGAGATTAAATCTTATCTCTAACACATTAGCCAAGTAACTTAACCTTGCTATCTGAATAGTTTCCTCAGTCATAAAATGGGCAAAATAAAAGTAGATATTCATTGGGTTGCTGAAAGATTGAGTTAATGCATGTAAAGTACTTGAAAGAGGGCCTGTCATATAATGTGAATTCATGATAATATATCTATTGTTCCTTATATGCAAGTCAATTTAGAACCAGCTGAAGAACTCTGACTTTGCTTTCCCTTGCACATATGATATGGAAATTTCATCTGAAAACTCTTACAGGGAAAAGAGCCTCAGTGCTTAAGACTTCATACAGCACTAAACTGTTATACAGCTGGCCCCAGAACCAAACAACCCATGATTGAATGCAGAAGTGCAAATATTTTATATATTAACAGGTAGAAAAAAAAAAAAAAGACTGTTATTGTTGTTGTGAGGTGCTGTTGAGTCGATTTCAACTCATAACAACTCCATGTGACAGAGTAGAAGTGCCCCGAGAGGGTTGTCCTGGCTGTAATCTTTACGGGAGACCACCAGGTCCTTTTCCCAGGAACTCCCTGAGTGGGTTCGAACAACCAATCCTTCCAATAACAGCCAAGTGCTCATTCGTTTGTGTCACCAGAACTCCTCTAAAAGTGAACTACTTAAAAAAAAAGTAATCTACTTGAAGAATCATACTTCATTATGTTACAATGGTTTAAATGCTATTAGATTTCAGTTTCTAGAATGAAGTCAGCCTCTATTGTCTACTAAATTTTTTTGATCAGAGAACTAAAAATAGCAAATAACAACAGACCATTAATACACAAGATAACATAACCCAGAAACCACAGCTATGGACATATCCAAAGTAAAATGAGATTACAAGGTTGTAGACAGTGAACCAGAGATAGCAATTGGCAAGTGAGGACAACTACAAACAAAAAGAGGGAAAAGACTGTGCAGTCACAGAATTTCTAAATGGTGAGGAAGTTAAGAAAGTTGAAAGATAGAATGGACTGTTCTAAACTTGGGGATAAATTTATAAATCATAGGGTAACCACAAAGAAAAATTATAAACCTTCACATCACAATAGAAAAGAGGACAAGCACAAATATTCAGCATATACTAAAACAACAGCCACAACGGGAATGATAACACAATTCATAAACAAAACGAGCTCAGCACAGAAAATAATATGGAACAAAGAAACCAGGGACACCAGGAAAAAATACATAACAAAATGACAGCAACAAATTCAAACTTATCAATAATCACCCTGAATGTTAATGGATTAAATGCACCACTCAAGAGACGGAGAGTTGCAGATTGGATAAGAAAACACAACCCATCCATATGCTGCCTACAAGAGACACACCTTAGAGATAATGACAAAAACAGACTAAAAATCAAAGGTTGGAAAAAGATATATCAAGCAAATGGCAACTGTAAGAGAGCAGGAGTGGCAATACTAATTTCTGATCAAATTGACTTTAAGACAAAAACCACCATACGAGACAAAGAAGGACATTATATAATGATTAAAGGATCAATTGAACATGAAGATATAACCATAATAAATATTTATGGACCCAATGAAAGAGCCCCTAAATAAATTTTTGACCCTACTCTAAATCTATTTCTTCTTTAAAAGAATCTGTCTTTGTAGTTTCATCTAAGAGTCACAGAACAAATATGGCAATTCCAAGGAAAAAAAGGACATAATGAGTAATATAGGGAGGGAAAAAAAAGCAAGGATTTCTGAAAAATGTTAAGACAATTCAGAGCTATTTAAAAATACTATTTCTACTAAAGCTCTTAACATGTTCCAAGGTTATTATATGTTCTACCCAAGAGCAAGGAACTAATTGTGACATTAAGTATATGATGGGCTTTCACTGTGACATAACCTCAGCCAATGATATAATGAATCAAGTTCCCATACTTCCCCATACATGTAGAATTACTCTCAAAGAAAAGACAGTACAATTATTTTCACTATCATTAATGAGCTTCAGAAGCTACTAAAGTTTGAGATATACCTCACCTGCATAAAAATGAAAAATTAATCAATAGTTGGCTTTTAAAAAGTTTGAGAACATAACATAGAAAAGGATGCAGGAGTAGGCATCATATGTACAGGGATGATATACTACAAAAAATATGATGAAAGCTCAGAGACTCCGAAATTGGGGAAAAAAATCTCACTTGGGCAAACATAAGACAGACTTTTTTTTTTAAGGGGAAATTTATTTGTAGTTAAATAAAAACAGAATAATTAGGATGAATCCTTCAGCCTATGGAACTTAGCTCTCTCAGAAGGAGTTTACATATGTCCATGTCCAAAGGAAAATTATTCATCTCTACCACTTGACTGCTAACCAGGAGGCTGCTGGTTCAAACCCACCGGCCACTCCTCAGAAGAAAGGTTGGGCAATCTACTTCAATAGTGATACTGCCTCGGAAACCCAAGGCAGGGTCACTATGAGTTGGGTCTGACTCGACGGCACACAACAACAACTGTTAGAAGGAGTTGTTTCTTCACTCCTGTTTTATGTGCAGAGTATCTGAAAAGGGGAGTGCTGAGCTGATTGTGAAATAAATACTAACATCTTTCAACATATCAAGGCTATCACTCATTTCAGGGTTATCCAGATTTCTTTCAGATAAAGATAAAATTTGAGAAACTTAAGCTAATAAACTCAACAACAGGAAGCAGTATGTAATTCTGTCATTGTCTGGTCTCATCCAAATCTGAAGACAAACTGTGTAACTTCTTTGAACAACAAATATCCAACTTAGTTAATGATCACATTTTTTTTTACATGAATTCATCATGCCAAATATTTATGATCCACACAGCTAAGTCTTTATTTAATTTGCTGCTATGTAAATAGCTCAATTCTTTATTTAAAAAAAAAGAAAACTTTTTTTAAATAAACCCTCCACTGTGTAAGTATTTAGAAAAGGATTCATTTATAAATGCATTACTTAAATATTAAAATTCAGTCAAAGGCTCTTTTTTCTTTTAGACTTCTTGAAGGAAAAAAAAAAAACACTTTACTACAAATCCACATAAATTCTTTCAAATTAGGTACTTTGCATGCTTTCATGCAAAGACTGCATTCAAGACTCTAAAGAAGGGTTCTGTGGTAGAGGCATCTAATGTTTAGGCAGAACCTGTTCTCTCCTTCTGGGAACATGAATGAGAATTACACTTCCCTGCCTCCCTTGCAGTGTCAGGAACATCTAACACTGAGCTAAAGCATTTAATTGCTAGTCCCAGACCCTGCAGCTCTGCTTTTCCCGTTATGGAAAACCCTGGAGCACCATGTTAATATCGCAGCATTGAAAGATGGTGCAGAATGACTCTGTGGAACAGAGAGTCCCACTGATCTATTAGACAGTGTGTGAATGATTTACAGACATTTACTGTGGTAACCCATTGAGATTCTGAAGTCATTTGTTATCTCAGTATAACCTAGCCTGCTCTAGCTAGTATAGGCAACATTAATTTTGAACGAAAACTTGCATAACTTTAAAGCTACTATATGCTTATAAATATGACAGCAAATTCTAGGAATAGGCAGTATGTGAGATCTAGGAATATTGCCCACTGTTTCCTGAATATCTTCCTGAATTTTTTGATCAATAAATCAAAAAGCCAGATGGATCTAGAAAACATAAGCCTACCTGAATCAAGATCACCATTGCCATTGGCTGAGCTGTGATGCTTTTCCAAGGGTGAAGGTGAAGGGTCTTGCATATTGGAAATTGACAAACTGCTCTCCATTCCTAATTAGTTAGTACCCTTTTCCTTTAATTCATCCTGCATGAAGAGTTACCTAAGGGCAAAAATAAATAAATAAATCAGAGGATTTTAATTATAGCAACATGTTTTTAAGCTCTCCAAAAACAATTTAATACTAGCAAAGCTGTTACCATTTCATCATTAATATTTAGGATGCAATGTAATGTTGATAATAGCAAACACTAATAAGAAAGAATAAAGAGTCCATCTCCATACAAGGTCAAAAACAGGTCACAACACAGCAAAATGACCTATTTTCTGTAGGTCATTATTGTCCCTAAAATGGACACATTTTTCAACACATTTACAAATACAGTCAAATCTACCATGATAGCATTAAGCAAGGCATTCTACCACCAAAACTTTCTTTCTCTTATATTCATTGCTACGAAGCAGCAAACACATGTCTACTTCAACATCCCCACATTCCATTATTACAACAGTATCTTGATGCTCATAAGAGATTGGTAAGAAATCAGTAAAAGTGATTTCTTACCAAAAATACTTAAAAGTATCAACATTTGCAAAAACACTTCTTACAAATTAGAAATGGCAACTTTTCCGATATTAGCATGCATTCTGGTATGACTGGGGGAGCAGTGGTAAACTTACAGCCAGGTTTCAAAGAATCCTACAATCTAGTTCTCATTAATGTCACAGCCCATGAGTCACTCAGGAGAAGTCATTACTAATAAGCAGCCATTTACAGCTGTGGTGATTGAAAAGAAACAGTGTTTTTAAATCTTTCACTTATTCAATGAGATTTTCCACATTCTCTTTTATTTTGCACATTGTTAAATTAGCAAAAGGGCAAGAATGGATAAAGGAAAGAAATAATAGTTCATCTATGCCAATAAACAGAATATTCTGTTACTCATGTACCAGTAAATTTTTTTTCCCTCTTCCAGGCCTTTATTGAGCAACATTTTCTAAGATGTCAAACCAATCGTACTTAGAGTTAAATTCTCTAACCATCTTTGTCTACTAAATTTTGAATTTACAATTATTTTTCCTTTATGTGATGGATCTATTTTTTTTCAAATATCTTTTTAGTCCTTTTTGTACTTTTTGTTGAGAGAAAACTAGATACACAGGCTCCTAACATCCTAAGATACCATGTTTTTGTTTGTTAGTTACCACTGAGCCTGTTCCAATCAGGGATTAGAACCTGTTCATTCAGGTTTCACCCCCTGCTGAGAACTTACACCTCCACTCCAGATACACTGAGTCAGAATCTACATTTTAACAATATTCTATAAGAATCACCTGTGAACCTGATTAAATATAAATTATCATTCAGTATATCTGGGGTGGAAATGCAAATAAATATTTTTTAAGAACACTAAACTCTTCAACATATAGAAAACGAAAATCCCCACAACTGTAACAATAAGCAGCATCATGACAAATGGAGAAAAGATTGAAGTTGTCAGGGATTTCATTTCACTTTGATCCACAATCAACACCCATGGAACCAGCAGTCAAGAAATCAGACACTGTATTGCGCCGGGCAAATCTGCTGCAAAAGACCTCTTTAAAGTATACAAGAGCAAGGAAGTCACTTTGAAGACTGAGGTACACCTAACCCAAGCCATAGTATTTTCAATCACCTCATATGCATGTGAAAGCTGGACAATGAATAGGGAAGAATGAAAGAGCTGATGCTTTTCAATTGTGGTGTTGGTGAAGAATACTGAAAATATCATGGACTGCCAGAAAAACTAACATCTGTCCTGGAGAAAGTACAGCCAGAACGCTCCTTGGAAGCAAGAATGGCCAAACTTTGTTTTACCTACTTTGGTCATGTTGTTAGAAGGGACCATTTCTTGGAGAAGGATAGCATGTGTGGTAAAGTGGAGGGTCAGCAACAGAGAAGAAGACTCTCAACAAGATGGACTGACACAGTGGCTGCAAAGATGGGCTCCAGTATAGCAAGAAAAGGAGAGGGCTGAGCTGATTGTGAAACAAATACTAACATAAGTAGTGACACTAGTAGTGATAATACTAACATCAGCAGTGTTTCATTCTGTTCTACACGGGGGTTCTATGAGTCAAAGCTGACTCAATGGCACCTAACAGCAACATACTCTTCATAAAACATATAAACATATATGAATATACACATGCACACACACACACGCACGCACACACACACCCCTTTGGTGCTATTTGGTTTACTTTCCTGAAAAATATCTTGAGTTTTTGTCACAACTGAAGGTATATAAAAGAGTGTGTTAATCATGTGTGTAATGATAGAGAGAAAGCTGAAAACTACTAGTGAGGAAAAGACTGAAAATATACCAGGTATACAACACAGTAATTTAATGTAATGCCTATATTTATCACCTGTTATATATAAAATACCATGATAAACACTATATTTTTCAATCAAAATACCAAGAAAGAAAATACCTCTTTTAGAACAAGAACACAAAAGAGATCTGGACTGGTTCATTAAACATCAATCTAACCATCTTGCTATTACCAAAATAGTAGATGAATAAGCAAATAAAATGAAAATCAAATATATAAGGCAACTATAGACAATTAAGGAGCACTGTTGGTACACTAGTTGAGCAGCTCAACTATCAACCAAAGTCAGCAGTTCAAACCCACCAGATGCTCTGCAGGAAAGAGATGTGGAAGTCTGTTTCCATAAAGATTTACAGCCTTGGAAAACCCTGTGGTCTGACTTACTAGAGTCACTGAGTTGGCATCCACTTGAATGGCAATGGGTTTTGGTTAAACAACTAAGAGAGTATCTTTCTTTCATTCAAAAAATACTCTCTAAGCACAGGGGCTTCTTATAGTTTCTGATGCAAAAAAGAAGGGCCCCACTAGGATAAGTAAGATTAAAAAAAGAAAGTAACAAATGCTGGCAAGAATGTAAGAGGTTTGAAGGGGGGACCAGGTTTGCTGGTCTCACAGAGCCTGGTGGAGACACTGAGACTATGGTCCCTAGCTGCCCTCCAGGTCTGGAATTGAACCCACATCTGTGGCTTCCAGCCAAACAAAAGACAGGCATCTGAGTTGAACATTTACCTGAGGTAGATACACTCCTTGGA